AAAAAGGACCCCCCCCCCCCCCCCCCCGCCGCCGCCGCCGCCCGGGCCTGGCCTGCGCGTGACTTTCGTCCATCATCAACATTATGGGGCTGGTGGCGGCTGCAAAACTACGGATCCAAATGGCGACGATTGACAGGGTACTACGCGAAAGGGTAACGAGGCTGGACCCGAACTACAAAGAGGTCACAAAGGGTGTCGGGGGACTGCCAGACGTTCACCAGGTGTGACAACGGGGGCACCGCAGATTGCATAATATGCCACACCCCCGGGCCTAGCACGGGGCTAGTTTGTTACGTTTTGAGGTCGTGTTGAACGGAGAAATATTACCACGGGGGTGTTATCTTGGGTGAGGCAACTACTTGTATCTTTGGTGAATGTCCGACCTCGTGGTTGGTCGCTTTTGTTCTGAGTCAACTGAGTTCGTGCAGCATCTTGCCCTAACCTGCTCTTACACCACACGCCGAAAAACACGCCACGCAAAAATCGACGGACGCAGCCGTCCATCAACTGCACGCCGTTGGAGCGCCGTGCCGACAAGCGTCTGGCGATGGTTCTGCGGGCGGTGCTGGTGATGCGCCCTCTGCTGAACCAGCAGCTGAGCATCGTCCTGCCTGCGCTGGTTAACTTGGTGAGAGGAGGGTTATTGTTGGTCGCGCTTTCGGTGTTGATTCTGTTGTTGTTGTTGCTGCTGTTGTCGTCGTTGAGATTGCTGGCGGTGGTGGCGGTGGCGGTGGTGGACGTTGTTGCTGCTGTGGCTGCTGTAGACTATTTAGTACTGTTGCTTATTGAGTTGTTGCTTAATTAGTTGTTGCTTAATTAGTTGTTGCTTAATTAGTTGTTGCTTAATTAGTTGTTGCTTAATTAGTTGTTGCTGGGGCTGGGCTTGGCTGTCATGTGTTGTTGCTGCTGCTGGTGCTGCTGCTGGTGCTGCTGGTGCGATTTGCTGCGGCATGATTACTTTTGATGTGTCTGGACCGGACCGACCATCGAGGGCTTTTGCCGTTTTGCAATTGCGTGAAACACAGAATGACTGTCGCCCGGTGCGAGCGTGGTGGTTGTTGTTGCAACCCTTAACAACGGCAACAACAAACTTTTGTCTTTTGATCCGAGTAGATTAGCTAGCCATGCATTCCAATGGCTTTCCCTCACGGGGGCCTTTTTTAAGGAACGTTTTTTCCGTCTTGAGCCACGCTGCGACTTGTCATTGCTCATCCAGGGGGTTAGCGCGGTCGATGCTAACAACACAAGACACGCAAAACATGGGACGCAATTTATGCAGGTGGGCGTGATGTCCGAGACCCACCCGGAGCGCGACGACCTGGAGTGGCACCTGGCCTGCCTGCGGACCATCAGAGGCCTGACCTCCGGCGGCGCACTCTCCCACGTGCCCGCCCTGGCCGCGAACCTCGTCCACGCCTTCGTCAAGCTCCTCTCCGTCACCGGCGGCGGCGGCGGCGGCGGCACCGACGCCCTCGCCGAGGACGGCGGTAGGCACCCCGCCGCCGCCGCTGCTGGCAAGAAGATGGATTCCTCTTCTGGCGGAATAAGCCTCCCCCAGCACCTGTGGGGGTTCATCGGCGGGGCTAGCTTGGTCGCCCCGTGGGACTTGGGCGTGGGGGGGAGGAGCAACAGTATTAGGGACGATGGGTCGGCCGCGAGGCGCGAGAGGAGGGGGGGCGTGCAGCGGAGGAGGGGGGAGTCGCTGGGCGCCATGGAGGACCACAATCGGTGAGCGTGTGCTCTCGACATAGGAGGGTGTTGATGTTTCTTTTTTTCTTTCTTCTTCAAGTTTTTAGTTTTTTTTTTTCTGTTCATGTTTTCGTGTGTGTGTGTTTTTTTTGTTTTGCCATAGTACGCACATCGACATGTTTGTTTTTTCCGGATGTTTTGCCTTCTTGACGACAACACCACCAACAACAATAACAACGACAGCACCAACAACAGCAACATGTTCGCTAATCTCACCCCGACTCAAACAATGCCGCCTTGATAACATCCGCTCTCATCCTAAATCTGCTGCTGCTTCCTCGTCGTTGTTGTTGTTGGAAACAGGAATCGCAGGAACAGCACGGGTAGCCGAACTGGCATCGGGAGGGGGGTAGGCGTGGGGGGTGATTTGGCCGCCAAGGAGGAGATGGCGCGACAGCAACGACGTCGGCTTGACTCTTTGCAAGACGCGGGGATGGAGGTGATGCTGGCACTCTCGCTTGTGTTGATAGTGGTAGTGGTAGTGGTAGTGCTGTTGTTGTTACTGATGTTGTCGTGGTGGTATCGCTGTTGTTTTGTGGTGGTTGTGCTGTTGTTGTTGTTGTTGTCGTTGTGTTGTGGTGGTTGTGGCTGCTGTTGTGTTGTGGTGGTTGCTGCTGCTGCTGCTGCTGCTGCTGCTGCTGCTGCTGCTATTTTGTTGTTGCTGTTGTTCATGGCAGGGAGTTGTCCTTAGGAAATACGCCGCCTCTTGGTTGTAGATGCTTGCCTAGTTGTACTTGGCACACACACACACACCCTGTTGCCCTTCCTTCTTGTACCTTGAGGGTCATCGCTATCTTCTTATGTTCCTCTCATGTCGTTGTCTTGGTCCCTGTCTGGTCCGTCCATTGTTTGGTGTTTTTTACCCCGTGTTGCCGGCTTCCCTTCCGCCTCACGTGCTCTGGCAATGTCTCTGGGCTGTCGCTCGTGCGCCTCTCACAGGTTCTCACCAGCGTAGCGACGCAGCTCGGTAACCGGTTCTTCATGTTCGAGGGCATGGCGGACAACTTTCTTGACGGGGCCGGAGCCAGCGAGCAGGCGGCAAGGTATGCTACCCCCCCTCCCAAACATGATCCTAACTGCGTCACACTTTACATATTCACAGCTACCCCCCCTCCCAAACATGATCCTAACTGCGTCACACTTTACATATGCACACTCTTTTTTTATGTTTCGCCCCGGCGGGTTTTTTTAACGCGCTACACACTGCCCAACCAGACTATATATTTAAGACCATCGACAGCAGTGGCAGCAACGCTGCAACATCACCAACTACTGTAGGCAGCAGCATGCTTTGAATATCCTTCAATAGCAGCAGCAGCAGCAAAGGCAAGTACTACTGGTAAGTATCAACCAGGCAGCAGCATTATATGAACAATCATGAACGGCAGCCAAGAACAACAACAACACTTTTTTTTTTTTTTTTGCACAGGTACCGCCAGCTGGTGAAGCGCCTCAAGGCCGACGCCGCCGCCAGCACGGTCACCATGGCTCCCCCCCACGGCGCCAACCCCCCCACCTGGGGCTCCGCGAACCCCTCACCCAACCCCTCCCCCGGCCGCGGCCACGACTACGGCATCAGGCCCGCGTACACGCTGCCCCCCAACGGGGGCAAGAGTTGGATGTCGGGTATACCCCCCCCTGCCGCCACCGCGGGCCCCCCTCACCAGCAGTACCTGAGCAGGGGCGCTTCTCAGGGGGGGTATGGGGGGTCGTGGGGGGGCGAGGGGGGCGGGGGCGGCGGCGGCAGCAGCGGAGACGATAGGAGCGGGGGCGGCGGCGGTGGGAATGATGGGGACGGCGGCAGCGACGGCGGCGGGGAAGGGTCGGTGAGAGAGCGAGGGAGGTTCGAGGTTCGAGGAGCTCGACTTGGCTTTTTTTTTTTTTTCTTCCTCCTACAAGATTCCTACAAGATTATTTGCTCCGGAGTATATTTCTTCGAAGTACGAATTACCTGGCATTTTTTTACTTCGTATTATTGTACTCCAAGAAAACATTTCCTTGTATGGAGTACGAACTACTGTACGCATGAAGAGTCCAGGGACCCTACTGATAGCAATGAATAAAATGTGTTCTCACATTTTGTGCGCGACAGAGGTGTGTAGAAATTAGAATTCTCAAGTCGTACGTAGTCTAGGAACATTACACGTGCCGTACATACGTTCAACCGTTTTGGACACACGCGTGCAGCCTGCACTTTTCTATTTACTTTCGTCGTGATAAGGGTATAGGAACGAAAAAAAACAAAAACGAAGCAGTCTACTGACCACGAACATTGACAGCTTTTCGTCACCATCGGGTCGTTTTTTTCACCGGCGAGACAGCAAGTGGTCGGCGCGTCAAGTGTTTTTTTTTTTTTGTAGCGACGCCGCTGACGCCCGCACCTTTCGCAATCGCGGCCGCTTCTCTTGTCGTCGTCACGTCGTTTTTTTTTTTTTTTTTTGTAGCGACGCCGCTGACGCCCGCACCTTTCGCAATCGCGGCCGCTTCTCTTGTCGTCGTCGCGTGTCCTCCGTGCCGCCGCGATGTTGTTGTGCTCGCTCTGCTGTAGCAGCAGCGCCCGATGAACGAAGCAAGCCTTAAGCGTGCGTGGGACAGCAACCAGGTACGTAAGAACCACCTTCTTTTTTTCGTCACCGCTGACCTCATCGCCCCAACCCTTACCCTACGTTGTTCTGGATAGGCGTGCATGTTGTCTTGATGCCATCCTGCTTGTAATTACAGGCGCCATTGGGATGCAGAACGAGCCCGCACTCCATTGTTGGCCTGAGGCTGGGGTTCTTACCGTACTCCTGGGGTCATGCTACGAATGGTCGCTATATAGGTTTCTGGGGTTCTTGACCGAAGTCACAAATGGTGCTCAAGTT